TTGGACCACAGCAAGGGGAAAACAGGTGGTCCTGGGTGTTCATTTCTGCAAATCACTGAGAGGTTCATTTGTGGGCACTTTTGTCTATGTGTCTTGTATTTCCTCCCGGAAAGACTTTAAACAAAATCTGACCTGGGCCAGTTTCCCCCCTGACAACTACCTCACTTCCTGCCAGCCTGCAGCCACACAGTTTAAACTCATCTTCACTTGAATTCAAGTGCAAGTTTCTTCTCCCCGTTAACCCTGACATCCCTGAGGGTGGGCAGCCTCAAGGCCGGTGTCCCTCGCCCCATGTCTCCTGTTCCCTGGGCCACTCCTGGGAGCAGAACCTGCAGCAAAGCCCTGAGGGAGGGGGACCCATCATGCTCTGGAGGAGCCAGAATGTGGCTGAGTGAGGTGACAGGGGTCACAAAATCTGGCCTGACACCCAGAATGTGTTGACAAAAATAGAAGTTTCTACTCTTGTAAAAATGTTCCTTTCCCTTTCTCAATTTCATTTCTGTAAAATCGCACTGAACAATCGCAGGTTCCCAGGCCTCCCGTGAGCCGGGCTCCCTTCGGTGCCCTTGTAGAATCCTCAACCTGAGCCTCATGTCCCTGTGCCCTGTCCTCCTGACACAACACCTTCAGCCTCGGGGGAGCCACCCCACCCTGCCTGTGTGCCTCCGTGAACCTACTGTCACAGGGAGATCAGAGGTCCAGAGATTTGTTGTCTCTCCCTGGACGGTGACTCCATGAGGACAGGACCCAGGTCTGCTGTGCTGACCTCCATGTGCAGAGGGACGGCCACATGGGGTTGGTGACAAGGGAGGAGGCTGCTGCTCTCCGCTCCGGGGCCTCCCCCATTACCATGTCCCTGAGCCCCACCCCTGACCTCCACAAACACCCGCAGCCTGAAACTCAGGGGTCCAGCCAGATGGGACCCATTGTCACCTTTCAGAAATGGCACCCAAAAGGGAATGGTGTTGTCAGAAAAGCAGATGTGTTTGAGCCCTTCATGGGGTGGGAATTGGGTGACACTTGCCCTCTTGGGCACAGGGTACCCAGGAGTGGATGTGGGTGGTGACACTTGATCTGAAAGTCCTTCCCAGGCCCTGACAGTGTCAGGCTGTGAAGTTCCTCCTTGTGAGGAGGGTCACGGTTCTGGCCTCGCCCCCATCTTCCTGTGGGGCCTCCTCTAAATCCTGCAGCTCTCAGTTCCCAAGAGAAGAACCCCGAGGAGCAGACTGTCCCTGGCGGCCCTGGCACCTGTGCCCGGACATGCTGCTGCTGCTGGCCCTGCTCTGGGGGATGGCGGGGGTGGAGGGACAGGGAGGGTACAGGGGAGGTTACAGGCTGGAAGTGCAGAGGGTGGTGACGGTGCAGGAGGGCCTGTGTGTCCACGTGTCCTGCTCCTTCTACTATCCCCGGCACGGCTGGGACCACTCTGACCCAGTTCACAGCTACTGGTTCAGGGAAGGGGCCAATCCACACCATGGCGCTTCAGTGGCCATGAACAACCCAGCTGGGAAAGTGCAGGAGGAGACCCAGGGCCGATTCCTCCTCCTCGGGGATCCCAGGAGCAACAACTGCTCCCTGAGCATCAGAGACGCCACAAGGAGGGACCAGGGCTCATACTTTTTTCGGGTGGAGCGAGGAT